TGAGACTGAGCACTTTGTATCCATGGGAAAGACAATGTAATACCAGGACAATTCTAGAACACATGATCTGATAAGTACAATTCTCATGTAGAGGCAACAGAACTGAATGTGTCAATACTCTTCAGAATCTAAGAAGTAAAACTCAGTGTCATATTTTGAAAGAGTAAAATTTTGTTCCTGTTACAATGCTATAAACACAAACAGGTCAGAAAGACTGAGTTTATATCATTTGATTTGCAGTAGCTTTCTTTATTGTACAACATAAGGAAAGCCCTGGAACTCATTAAGAAAGGTAAAAGAGATGTAGAAATTATATTTGATAGAATTGCTTTTCACTGACAAAGCCAAGGATCTGTGAGTTTTTCCTTTTATTTCATTAAAATCTGCTTGGAGAAGAGTAAGTACATTCAAAATGGATGAATAGTAGGTAGATTACAGGAAGGGTCCATGGCCCATAATAAATTCTATTGTAAATGAGCTCCCCAAATCATTCCATTGAATAATTCATGTGTATCAATTGATTCAATCATTCCTTCCCCTCAGCTTCAACCCTCAATATTACTTGTTTTTCTTCATGTCCCTTGTCGGGGATTGCCTAATTTCATTACCAAGCAGAGACAAGTAGGCAGAGTGATGGTTTGAAGTGAGCCAGATTTTCTTCTCGTCTATGCATGGACCACATAAGAAACCCTACTTCCTGTTAGGGGAAGTAGCACCAGAACCAAGGAACTATGCATATACAGTGTACAGCACTCAAATATACTGAACTCTGATCCTGAAACAGAACAGAACACGTTTGTGTAGAGGAATATATACCACATGCCACTCTCCAGTCTACTGCGGGTGTTCGTGGCCTTCATCTACTCTGGTAAGGAAGGCTCCAAAAGTGGGTAAGGATGTTAAAGATGAAGGGATTGCACACAGCATGTGGTGTGTCACGGGGACTTGGGGAGGAATGGGGAACTGTAGGAAAGCAAGTAGGCTAAGATGTCAATTTGGTTTGTGTTTGCATCCTCACTGAGTCTAATTCTTACAATATTTTAAGAAGGACCAATTCAGTTCTCTAATTTTTCCCACAGGATCCATTTTGGCCCAGAGTGTTACTCAAGTCCAGTCAGCTACATCCATGCAAGAGGGGGCAGCTGTCACTCTGGACTGTCAATATAAAACGAGTTGGAAGCTTTATTACATTATCTGGTACAGACAACTTCCCAGTGGCAAGATAATGATGCTTATTTTTCAATATTCTGAGAATGTGAATGCAAAGCATGGTCGCTTTTCTATAAACTTCCAGAAAGAAGCTAAATCTATCAGCCTCGTCATTTCAGACTTACAGCTGGAAGATTCAGCAAGATACTTCTGTGTGCTCTTGGAACTCACTGTGTTTGAAGTGATAGTGAAAGCTGAACAAAAACCTCAGGACTCAATAACAGAGAGCTCCCCACTACAGTGTCAGAGCTGCAATGCACACCTGCAGATCCCAGACAAGAAATGGCAGAGACTGTGGTTGTTTAATATGTGGTGTGGTCAGAGGATTGTATGCTAAAGAAAACCATCTTTTATCTCATTTGGAAACAGGTGACTGGAGTAACATTCTTCAAATACATTCTCAGTCTTGAATTTTGGACTTACAATAGCTCATACAGAATATATGTAAAGTTGCCTAATATTAAAAAAAAAAACTTGCTCCATACTAATTTAATTAAAGTGGCATTTTCACTTAAAGAGGTTCACTGCACAAAGCTGGGTCTAGTCATTTTATATCTAGAAGAGTCATAATCATTTCCTTAGCCCTTTCTCCTCAGGTTTTCTGTCAGTCAGTCAAGGTTCAACCAGAGAAGTAGAACCACCATGAGTTATATAGACTAAGAGATTAATTATAAGGCTTAGACCTTATATAATTGC